CACTGTATACAGTGCGCCGGAAGTTGCGGGCCGCACTGTATCCATCTTTAACAACCACATCAGAATAAGAAAACAACTTAGGCAAATACTGTGTAGAATACATCAATGCAGAATAAACATGTTAGAGATTATCGTGATGAAATGATATGATTTTCGGTTTACGATGATCCTCGTACAAAGCTGCCTACAATGCAAGTCTTAAAAATTGCAGGTTCCATAGCACATTTACGATGGCGGATTTACTGGTCAGAAATTGTCGAGATAAGATTAACAAAAGTCACGAATCTTAAGCAGCCTGCAGTCATGCAAAGATGATGACGATCAAACATGACAAATAAACCAAAAAGATTGCCAAAAATTAATAAGGGTAACATCATTATATATCTTCAATTAAACAGTATGTCAGAGCTAAAACGGATAAATCTGCTGAAAAACAGGCATTTTTACTTCGCTATTAACGCAACAATAAACTTCATCGCCAAAATTTTCAAAGGGTTTATTACGCATATATACAGTACTACACAAAATCACGACGTTTCGGGTGACATGGATCCATCTTGATGGAGACACTATGTAACAAGTGCAAAACAGTTTCGGCAATACTGAATGATCGACTGAACAATGCTTCAATGTTTTTGCGCCTGGTGTTACACAACGTCCCCCATATACATAATGTCCCCAATGTGCAGACATAAACTGAAACTCAAAACGGCTGTTTCCTACCATAGTTTCAATTATAAACATACGATAATATTTCGACTAAACAAATGTCGGTCTTCAATCAGTTAGATATCGAAGACCTGCATGTGCTCACTCAAAGTAGTATCCTCTGTTTATAATTAAAACTTTAATATAAACAGCCATGGGGACTAACAATTTACAACAATAAGTTAGTTAAACAAGAAGAGAAGAAACACAGCGAAATCGAAATGTTGCCTTGCACTGAGAACCTCAGAGGACCATTTTAACAAGTCAAAGTCTCATTATACATTATAAGACATGCACTGCAACACCGCAACGCCGTGTTCAATCAATTTTTCTAATGCATTATATAATTTACATTCTTTTATTCCTCACCTCAAAACTCCTACAATAAAAGGTCAAAAAACAGTAGTGTTACTTACCGTAACTTGCTATGCGTGCGGCCGCTGCGCGCCTCGTACGCTGCCTGCTGTATGAGGGGGACATTTTCGCCTCTCTGGCATCGGTTTCACCTGACGATTCTTCGCCGCTACTGTTTGCGCCTAAAATGAGTACGAAAGAAATGATATTGAGTCAGTCTCAATCGTCGCGATGAGGTCGAGGTCTTACCGGGTCGCTTGTATGAGCTGTGGCGGGTCTGCATCGCCCTTCGGGGTCTTTCCCGTTTACCACCTCGTTCGCCGCCGATACATTCCGGCAAGCGGCGTTCGCGTTTCTTGATATTTAAGCCGGCATTTTCATCTTTCTGTAAAAATACACATCACCAGTGAAGAAAGCAGGTCGTCCACCCCTGCAGCCGCTGGTAACGAAGCACAGCTTCAGACTTTACGGCCGAACAGTAACGACAAAACACAACGTTCGTGCGAATCAAATGCACCAACTTACAGAAAAAATGTACAGCTCGACAGTGTGCAATCAACAGCAGATACAGAGCGAGCGAGGAGACTCCGCAGCAGCCGCAAATCCGGTTCGGCCAGTGGCCGAACGAACTCGTGACATGCCTTAATCTCAATAACTGGGCCCCAAATAAAGGCTTCTCAAAAAAATACTCACAAAGAATCATTAAGAAAATTCCGAACTGATCGAAATTTCAAACTAGCAACGATACCAACAAGCTGACAAACTCACCTGCGCCTCGGTCGACGATGCTTTGCCGGCATCAGCACTCACCACCTCTTCTTCGGTCTTTTCCATCAACGCAAAAGCAACAGGTTACTAAACTTCATCTGTAGTGCCAAAAGAAGGAGCACAATCCAAAAGTAAATTCAAACATTTCTACGGACTACAACGACACTAACGCGGATATTTACGAAACGAAACAGCGTATAAAAACAGAGCGACATGATTTACGAAATTCAGTCTTATACATCGGTAAAAAGCTACGTTACTCTAAAGCTTGGCAACCTAACATACCGATTTCTCTCAAATCTTAACCCTTGAAACACAAAATATTTTAAACCAATATATCGCCAAATCTATATCTACAGTACATCAAATTTGAAGTTTGATAATGAGGATAGACCGTTTCTATCAGCCATATAATTTCTGCCTCAAAATAGCTGCAGGTTTCGCACAGTTCTCTTACACAGAAAATTACAATTACTTATAATTAATCTAGTGCCTCTCTGAAAACTTAGTCATAATGCTTGATATTTCTGTGATAAAATTTTTTTCTTTAACACTGCCATGGCCGGTCCCAAGCCCGGATAAGAAAAGGAGGAGGGTTGGAGACCGTGGCAAGTCTCCGTAAAATTCAGCCACCTGCCACTCATGGTATTGACGAAATCGAAAATTATACCAGATCGGTTGTCGCCCGGGTTACCAAGGGCCGGGCAGGCCGTTGGGGTACTGAGACAGACTGCGAAAAGTCGGCGATCAGAACCTGCTCATTGACCTCTGCCAGGGGGGAGCGTGGCAGCACAACGACTGCTGACGAAGATACCAGTCAGCAACGGAGTCGATACCCGTTCCGAACGGAGCAGGCAGAGAGCGCGA